GGTCCAGTTCCACCTGTCTCTCCACTAGGTAAGTTTCCCCTTGTTCGACCTTCTTCCTTATCGAGGAATCCTCCCTTGAGCGATGGTACAGGTAGAACAAATAGAATGTGTTGGCCAGTCATTGCGTAGGCCATTAAATTCTTCATTTCATACGATCGGGAAGAATGCGTGGTGCATCTTAGCGATGATGTTTGTGGCTTCCACACCGTTTGACAACCCCATACTTACACACTTCTGTACGCTGTTCATATGCACTCTGAAGCTGAACGCAAACAATTAGTCTTCCTGCTTTAGAGGAACCGCTTATTGAGAGACCCCCTCCAGAACCTGTCTTCCGTACTTGCACTATGCAGTGCTTACGGCCGCATGGCTTCTTTTTGAGGCTGAGCGCGCTTCGAAGTCCTCAGCAGTTGTTCTATCGGCAAGACACCCTGGGGCATCCTAACGTAACTAACCGTTGAAGCACCACGGCGAGAAAAGGAGAAAATCTGGGGCGTGTGAGCAATTTTCATTTTCCCCGAAGCTCCTGCTGCTTCCTAGGCAGCCTGTCCTATCCTGTATCTCACGATATGGCCCCGCTAAATCAACTGTGTGCTCCTTCCAAAGCAACTCTCCGTCAACCTAAGGATGTAAAAACTTACGCACTTCTGCCGCCAAATGGTTGTTGATGAGCCGTCGTTCCTGCTCCCCTTCGTACGACGAGCTGTCCCTCAGCACAGTCATTTTCTTGCTTCGACTTGCCCCAGCCCCGTGGCATTTGAATGCAAGGAGGCCATCGAACGAACTTGATTGCTCACCCAAAACAGCGCTAAATGACATGGCTGTGCACACTTCACAACACTTACAAACCTGCAGCAAAGCCACGTGGCAACCACACGCTTATGAGCCATCAACATCTGCACTAGTCTCTTACTTCTTAATCTCTCTTCCAGAACCCCTTCCTCCGCCCCTGCACCTCAAACACCCCCAGCCCCTACCATTGAGGCTACGCGACCTAGGTCCGAGATCAGCGTCTCCTGACATAACAGCGTGATTGAGCCTGAATTCTGCCTACTCAACAAAGGGAGAATCTAATTATGGAATCTAAAGCGTCGTGTTCCGAGTGGGGACGTAATCTATTGTTACTATTGTCTGCGCTATCAATTCGCCATAATTCCACCACTTGCGCGTCGCATCAACTTCCCCTCATCAATACCCCGGCCTAGAAATTTTACGAAAGAACTCCCATCGAGTCTTTATTTCCCCGGATTTTCTACGCTCAAATCCCAGCCTCATTCACAAAAACAAACCAGTATATTATTACTAAGCTAATACTCTTTGGTCTTTCTGTTCAATTGAACTTGGGTTTACCTTGCACAATCACCTCTTCTATTGCATTAATCACGCGATAAATTTTCAATATTGTCGTCCGTATTTTTCGAGCGAACAAACTTCTGTCAACACTCAAAGGCTGATACGTGGTGCTTCATCACTTTCACTACGGTGCACCAGAGCAGAGAATTACGAAAAACGACCATGCCCCGTGCCGCGAGTTCAATTTTGGTGCCAGCCGCTTCCCCGACTGAGCAGTGTCTATATTAGGATTGCCACGGAAACGCTGATTCATTATTCAAATGCCTCCCCCCGCCCGCCCGTCCACCGCGGGTGATGTCCGCCAGGACCGTGGCGCATTGTGCAAGGGCTCCCGGCACTTCCAAAGTGAAACCCTAGCTGACCTATGAAGACTTATTAGGTTCCCCCTACCCTGTAACTTTAAATAATATTCCATTATGACTAAAGTCTCTGATTCCGTTCTCAGAACAAAGCCCTGCCTCTGATTTGTGGAAAGCATACTCGTTGGAGTGAACCTGGATCGTCCCAAGGGTAATCCAAAATAGGATGCTCATAATGAAATAACAGATTAATTGGTGCTCAGAAACTCATCGCTCCACCCGCTGCTTCAGTCCCTTCGGGGAATCCCTTGATCAGTAGAAGGCTTAAGTCTTTCAGAGCACAATGTGCATCGTCTCTAGCTGTGGAAATGTTTTTGTAGCTCCCAAACCGCGTGAGGACAGAAGTCGAAACCAGGCGCTCCCGATTCGTACAACCAAGGAAAGGACGACAAGATCAGCGAAAAATTATCCTGCTAGAAATGGAGAAAAAATTGTAGGGAGATACACAGGCTCCGCCTTCGTTAAACCGATTGAACCACTTCTTTGCACTCAAACTCCCACTCACTTCTGGGAAAAATCATCGAGCATTTATGATCGCAATCGTTGCATCCGTTCCCCTCCCTTGTTATCACTTTCTCCACAGCAAACACGCCTGAGGTCAATAGCAAAGAAAGTTTTTCGACTTCAAGAGCGCTAAAGGAAGCTTCCTACGGCCCCTTCATAGCTCGCTGGGCTCACCTCGTTTGTTGGAATAGTACTCCCTACATCTATACTATCGACGGCAGACCCTTGATAACGTCAACATTCACACCTTATGTGTACAGTAGCAAAATCGATCGTCTCCACTAGGAGCCATCAGTACCGAACACATGTACGATTTTGTGGTTCCACAACTCCGCGCGCACACTACTTAACAGACGCTGTGAGAGGATAAGATACAACACGGGTGACCATTACCCCGCGTACGCACCCTCCCCCCCGAATGCCTCCTTTCCAAATTACCACAGAAAACACCATACATCGTCTCCCACGCAGTGGCTCGACTAGAAGACGCGACGACTTATCGACGATATTCCCGCGGTCTGCGTTCGTCCTCCTCCCCACCCTGGTCTTCGACTCTTCGATGGACAGTTTCTGCCATTTCCTGGGTGGCCTCCAGTTTATGCGCCTCTTGGGAAGTCAAAAGGTCATTGGCAATGCATTCCTAATAATGACCGACTACAAAAACCAAATTAAACCACGCCGTCTTTTCCGGATGCAATTGCCTTCATAAGGCTTCTGAAGCAGGCATGACTTTAATGCGTACACAATGAATGACTCTCCATGATGGTACTGCGCTGAGGTCTCGCTGAATGCCCGCATCTGGGAAACACTTCCCAGTAACATGAGCAAGACTGTAGATTGTACCTGTGCATTCATTTCTGAGGTGATAAAGTAACTGACACCGCTGCTCGGTGCGCAATAAAGAGCTAGACAGCCCCCCATATTCAGCACAGGGCTTCACCGCCATAATGTCGGCGCAGTATCAAATCCGTAAATAACTTCGTATAGCATACATTATACGGATGATACCCAGCGAAGAGAGATATTGCCTTTTAAGTGGCAAAAACTCGCATGAAAATTTCAGCATCCTCGACGCTTTACTCGACGAAATTTGAGAGACCCTATCTCTTCGAGTGTAAGCTTTCAGATCAATTTCAATATTGCCCGGTAGTAGCAAATCCAGCTCTATCTAACCCTACCTATCTACCCCATGCACACTGCTCCAAAGGTTATGAAATGGGGGAATGGAACCTTTTCATCGAGAGTGTAGATTTCGACGGTTTCGAGCGGGGTTTCGGCAAATCTGACCCACGGATAAACCGCGCTGCAACTGAATGCTTTGCTGTACATTGATGGAACTCGCTTATTCACATCAAATCAAAGTTAGAGGTCGTATCCCGATGTGAGGGGGGGGTCGTACTGAGGTGACCACGTCCTCGACACGATTTTCACCCTGCTCCTGACCCTTCAGCAAATACGAGTTTACGCACCCCTTCGGCCACGCGCCACCGGCGTTCAGCCACATCCATATAGTTATTGTGGTGGTCAAGGAATGCTTGACTACACCTAATTGGAAGCGTATTCACGAGAGAAGCTTGGTTTCAAGAGCTGCTCGTTAGCGACCGAATTGTGTGTCCAGACGGCTGTCACAAGCTGTTCACCGCGCCTTTCTCGCCACCACATCAACAAGCTTTTTACTAGCCTACGTTTCTAGTAAGCACTTTATTATGAGTTGGTTGAAGCTCAGGTGCAGGCCATTTCAGCCACGGCCGATGCACAAGTGGTTGAGACCGCCGTTACTCACCAAAACCATTATTTCTGCATTTTTGTGCGGTCGTCCTTTTAGATGGACACCGACGGAATGCTTTTGCTTCCACAGAATTAGCCCTTTCATGCCTTGTGGAGTGGAGCAAAGGCAGGCCGCCTCCGTAGAGATTCTTCTTTCTGATTCTGTTCTGCGGTCTTTGAATCCTTTTTCCAACAGTGTTCGAGCCACTCTGTAGTGCCCCAAATTTCAGTGTTTTCGGTCCTGAAACACCCAGGAACAGACTGAATTCCGTGAGCCGTAGGCATGGATGCTCGGCAAGCGAGAAGAATAAGGTATGATCGACCACCTGCACTAGATTTTGAAAAAAGGTGAAAGCTTCCCGGTCAGTCATCACAACAGTGGCCCTACATATCTTGACCCTGTTTCAAAGAGGTGCCAACTGCCCGTTGGATTCGTTTGGTTTCCTTACCAGAAAAAGAAAACCCCAGAAACATCCAGCAAGATCGTCATTTTTGCACGACAGGGACCTCACAGCGGAACAAATCCATTGTTTGCCAGTTTTTGGAGATTCGCAATGACAGCGAACAATCCATCAAACAATTTCTGAGGCAGCTTTGAGCACTCCTCACACATTCGAGCGACATCGAGGGCTAATTCAGCCTCACGTTCAGTTTGTTGGCTTCACGTTTCAAACCCATACTTAGACCTTTCTGACGCTGCTGACATCACCGTAGAGAACAAAAAAGTTTCTGCGTCTAGAATTGGTCGCTTCTTGAGGATTCCTGCACGCTCCTCCCAAACTTGCACATGCAGTGCTTAAAGCCGCAGCTTTCTTTGGACTGACTGAAGCTTCGAACGTCCAAGCGGCGCTATCGCAAGGAACACGGACTCCTATACGGGACTAACCCCAGGCGGGGAGGAGAAAATCTAGGGCTGTGAGCATTATCATTTTCGCACGAAGCTCGCATGCTGCTTCCTACGCAGCATCGTCTTGAGATGGCCTTAGTATCTCGCGATATCGCCCCAGCTATCAACTGTGCTCCTTCGTCAACAAGAAAAAACTCACTTCTGCACATGGTTGTGATGAGGCCGTCGTCCTGCTCCTTCGTCACTTCCCTCAGCCAGTCATTCTTGGCCACTTCAGCACCGCTGGCATTTGATGCCGGAGGCCATCGACGAACTTGATTGCTCACCACGCCTAAATGACATGGCTTGCACTTCAACACTTCAAAACTGCACAAAGCACGTGGCAACCACACCGAGGCCTACGCGACCGCCGACGGCGTCTCCTGAAAAAAGCGGTGAATGAGCTGAATTTTACTCGACAAGGGAGAAGTGCTATTAGGAAACTTATTGGGGTATCTATTGCACTAGTTCTCTATTCTTCCATAATTCCACCACTTGCCGTAACTTCCCCAACCCGCCTGAAGTTGAACGAAGGAACTATCGAGTTCTTGTCTTATTTCCCGGATTTCACTTGAATCCAGCCCATCCACTCCTTTTGGAACTAATATGTACTTTTCTCTGTTCATTGAATTAACTTCGCTTTGCGACGTCAACTCTTCTACAGCCTTATCGCGAATAATTTTCAACATTCGTCGTATTTTTCGAGCGGAAAATTTCTTCAACACGCTCCGAGATCTAATAGGCTATAAGAGTGCTTACGAGAGAAACTTTCAGCCTACGGTGAAAGCAATCGACTTGAAGACGCGAAACGGAATCGGAGCGGCATGCGCGAATTCAATTGGTGGGCAGGCGGGTTGCCCAGACTGAGCAGTGTCCATTATTATAGATGAAAGGAAACGCTGATTCATTATCACCTCCCCCCCCCCACCTTGCTATTCCCAGGAGCCAAGGTGCGATTGTGCGAAGGCTCCCGTACTCCAAATTGAAACTCTAGTTGATTGAGACTTGATTAAGGTTCCCCTGAATCTACTTAAAAATATTTATTATAAAAATATCTCTAATTCCGCTCTCAGAACAAAGCTCTGCCCTGAATTTGTGGAAAGCATACTCGTTGGAGTGAGCCTCGTATTCTGTCCCGCAAGGGTAAACCAAAATACGGAATGCGTCGATAATGAATTAAGCATTAAATTGGTGCTCAGAAAAATCACTCCTCCACTCCGCTGCTTCAGTCCCTTCGGGGAATCCCTCGACAAGAGAAGGCTTAAGTCTTTCAAAGCACAATGTGCATCGTTTCTAAGGCTGTAAAATGTTTCTGTAGCCCTCAAACTACAGGGACAGGACGCGAAGCATGCTGCCGAATTCGAATCACCAAGGGAAGGGCAAAGATCTGAAAAAAATTGCCTTGTTGTTCGGAGATACAAGGCTGCTTCGTCCTGAACCACTGACCACTTCTTTGCACTCAAACTCCACTGGGAAAGTCGATCGAGCAGTAATGATCCAATCACTTTATCCCTGACCCTTTTATCACTCCGCTGCAAAACTGCCATAAAAGGTCAATTAGCAAGAGGTTTCGACTAATCGGCAGAAAAGCCCAAGTGGCTCGTAGCTCCAGGGCTCCCTCGTTTTGTTGGAATAGTACTCTACTCTATACTATTCGAGCACTGATAACGTCAATTCACTACGTTACAGTAGAAAATCGATGTCGTCCAACTAGAAGCATAGTCGAACTGCAATTGTGGTTCCATCAAGCTCCGCCCAACTACTAACAGACGCTGTGAGAGGATAAGAATATAACACGGGACATTACCCTAGCAACCTGACCCCAATGCCCCTTTCCAAATGCCAGAAAAGCACCCAAATGCCTACGCAGCCGAAGAAATCTTCAGTGGCCGAATAGCTGCACAATCTATTCATCGTGCAAGTTATACAAAGACAACGACTTAATGAGCGATTCACCGCGTCTCGTTCTATCTCTTCCCCACCCTGGTCTTCGACGGACAGTTTCTGCCATTTCTTGGGTGGCCTCCAGTTTATGCGCCTCTTGGGGAATCAAAAGGTCATTGGCAATGCATTCCTAATAATGACCGGCTACAAAAACCAAATTAAACCACGCCGTCTTTTTCCGGATGCAATTGCCTTCATAAGGCTTCTGAAGCAGGCATGACTTTAATGCGGTCACAATGAATGACTCTCCATGATGGTCCTCGAGGTCGTCGATGATGGCCCGCCTTTGGAAGTAACACTTCCAGTAGAGAGCAAGACAGTTTTTGTACTGCATTCATTGACCGAGGTGATAAAGTTAAGTGACAACTGGCTCGGTAGGACCAATATAAGAGCTAGAAGCCCCATATTCAGCAGTCACCGCCTATGTCGGGCAGACAAATGTGGCAATCCTGGATGAAAACAAACGATGAAACGATTCAAACATCACGTAGCACGGAAGTGAATAAACAATGTAGCCTATTAGTCACTTGGGATTTACCTCCCATTCATGTTATGTTACATTTCTAGCTAATGTTTCCTTGACGATAGAAAGGTTGGGACTCGTTTGCCTACTTGTTACTGTCAATAGTGTGTTATTCATTTAATTGTAACAGTAATTTTCTCTGATGTGGGCCTTCCCGTAATAAATCGTAACAGAGCCAAAGATCGAATCAAGCCCGCTTTTATATGTGAAGTGAACGAACTGCAGGCTGAACGAGAAAGAGCGGTTGGGGTGTTGCCTTTTGAACCGAGTTCGGGGAACGTAGTATTTTCAATGCATTGAGGATTTTTTGTGCAGCTCCAGAGTGAACAACTGACCTTGCGTGACTTTATCCCGATCGTAGGCGAAGTTTGCGCCCCGGTCGAATGGGATCGGTGTCCTCCGAGCGGTATGAGAAGTGACGGGCGACATTCTGAAAAGCAAAGCTGGACACTCAAACTGTCGACTTCCGTTCAAGTTCCGACCATGTAGGTTAGGGTGTTCATCCCAGGGACTGGGATTGCTGGTAAACGGGTCCTTCATCTTCCTATTTGGTCTCGGGCAGATCCCGAATGTCGCAAGTGAGATTTTTCGATGCACTCAGCTGCTTGTTGTGAGGATACGTGCAGGAAACAAGGAAAAAAAAGAAATAGTTCCTATCACCAATCACAGGCGAAACCATAATCAAGGTTCTTTAAGGCATGATGAATCAGCTATAATCAGTTAATCGGCAGGCATATACTATACCTTCCAGTGTAGCCGATGAGAAAATTAGCGTCGCTAGGTGGATTTCACGAATAGAAAAGGCAGCTGATTAGAAATTAAGTTAGAGATGGTCAGTGATGTACGAAAGAAGAAAACTGAGAAAAATGGCCTAGAACCCGGGAAATGGAACCCCTTCTGATTTGCGCAGTGATGCAACTCTCATCGATGCTGCTCTCTTCAACGCTAACACTCTCTCCACTGAACGGCTCGAGATCCAGACACGAGACAACGGGAGAGGAGGTGTACCGGCCAATAGCGCGCCATTTGGGCCGCTGGGAAGGCCGTGTTAGATCGCTGGGAGCATATCCTTCAATGCGAATTGCGTGTTGGTCCAGTTCCACCTGTCTCTCCACTAGGTAAGCTTTCCCCTTGTTCGACCTTCTTCCTTATCGAGGAATCCTCCCTTGAGCGATGGTACAGGTAGAACAAATAGAATGTGTTGGCCAGTCATTGCGTAGGCCATTAAATTCATCATTTCATACGATCGGGAAGGAGAATGCGTGGTGCATCTTAGCGATGATTGCGTGCCGAAAACTTTCCTTTTTCACCTGGTGTTATAAAACTCAATTTGAGGAGGATTCCATGAGAAGGTCGGAGGTCGAAGAAGGGAAAATTGAGGCAGGGAAGCCTTTCAAGAGTGCAGGACGATGCGCGCTCCGCAGTGAGTATGCGCCTAACAGCGCAAAAACCGCGCCGCTCGCGCCGTGACACGCCCGCTGATAGGTGACCACTAGTCGTCTTAGCCGTTAAGAAGAGAGAGCGTTAGCGTTGAAGAGGGCAGGGCGATGAGAGTCGCATCAATGCAAAATCAACGGGCAAGGAAGGGTCCCATTTCTCGGGTTCTGGGCCGTTTCTCATGTTTTTTTTTTCTTCTGCACCACTGGCCACCTCTACCCTAATTCTAATCGGTTGGTTTTCCACGTCAAATCCGCCTTCAAGGATTTTCCACGTAAATCCCCCTTTATGGAATAGCTTTGCCTAAAGACGATTCTGTTCACAAAAATGATAGCTGTAAGTGATTCAAGGGGCAGACTCACGCGTAGAAACCGCTCGTGCGAGGCATGCTTTCCCTGCCGGTCGGCCCGACTGTCCTCGCTCTCCTTCGACTGCCATCTTCTTCACTGAAAGAATGACTAATTAGATTCAAGGGCTATAGTTGAAAGCCTTGGTTGAAGCCCGTTGCCCCATTAACAAGATTGATGGCTCTTGTCCTTCTGGGACGGAATTATTCCTTTCTCTAACGCTGCAACTGAACATACTAGATCACCCGCAATGCAAACACACCTATTTCCACATGTATCCAGATAGTCGGAACGAAATGCAGTATCCGTTCCTGAATGGCTGGCTGCTCATCGCAGAGCAGTCAGTACACCTTTTTTGTCCTACACTTTCTCAGTAATGATATGGTCATTCCCACGGCACCCTGAGGACTTCTGGCGCTCGTTGTGCCCACTCTGCGCTTCTCATTCGCCTGTTCCTCAATGCTCATCTAAGCATGATGAAAACTTTCTTCTGAAAACTTTCGCAAGACTTTAACTTTTTCTTGACCTCGAAATCGATTCAGAAACATCGGTGGGCTCTCAGTTACTATCGGCGTGATCTGTGCGCACAGTGGTATCCCTTACCCAGTCTTCTAACACCCGTACACAACTGAGAGCTGAAGGGACAACTCAGACGCCATACATCACACCGCGATGAAATGCTAAACGCCCGAATGAGATGGACATGATGGACGTTTTTCTAATGTCAGTCACTGCAAAGCGTTAATTAACTCGGCCGAGAGCAGCGAAGCTTAGCAGTTCCCTGCGGGTAATTTCAACCTGCTCCACCCATCTCTGCACGCCGAAGGCCACAACAGCCGCCCAGTGTCTTCTTATTCTTCACGGTTTCGATTTTCTGATAGCACGCCTGTTGAGGGAAATGAAGGACTGACTGGCACTTCTGCTCATTTTGTGCTCTTTCTGAATAATTTGGAGAACTTTCATAGTGTTTGGATCCCGATTAGCAGTCTCCTTGAAGAGCTAGCGAAAAACGATATCTAATACTTGCCAGAGGAGGCGTATCGCCAAATGATGTAGCATGTCCCTGTACCATGAAGCAGCCTCGAAACGACGACATGAGGCCCCAGGCGCTGTCTGATGGCCTACTCTAGCAGACCCCCGCCCGCCCTATCTCTTGTATCCATCCACTCGCCCCCTTTTGTCAAACTTTCTTGTCCACCGAAGACATACACTTTTCGACATCAACTCCTACATACATCACCTGTATCACCTGTCGTCCCGTTGATCATCGAATTGCTCGAGCGGGCGCCAGCAACGTCTCCATTCGTCCCTGTCGCGTGCAGAGTTGTCCAGTGGACCCTCCTCGCTCGAGGGACACGAAGCCTTCATTCCTTTCGTTCAGAGCTTTCGTGAAGAAGTCTGACCATCGGGCCGGCGGTCGTCCAGGTGTTCGTTTGACGTCCCGAGGGATCCAGTCGGTAACCGCTCTGGTCCAACGGTCATCGCAAAATCGCATGACGTGTCCGGCCCACCTTATCTTCGATTCCTTGGCGAAAACGGCAGCGTCCCTGATCTTCGATCGTTGGCGTAGTTCGGAACTCCGGATTCCCCTCTGCACTTGCGTGTATAGGGTTACTCCTAGCATCGTCCTCTCGACAGCGCGTTGGATAACGCTGACCGCATGCTCGTCCTGCCTGCGCAGAGTCCAAGTCTCTGAGTACTTCTAGGGCAGGAAGCGTCGGAATAATCACGTTTGGACGATTGATCGTTTGGATTGCGAAAATTTGGACGATTGTGAAAATTTTACGCGCGTCTCTTGGGGTGTTGGTACCACATTATGGTCGCATTCATCTCGCAGTTGCGTAACGCAATGCGCATTTTATGCTGCGGACGACGAAATTGGAAGCGGCATGGACGTATGGCACTTGGAACCAGCAAAAGTTCAAAAACTCGACGTAAGTCAACCTGTTTTCGGGATACCACACATTCTACTTGTGTTCAGAATCGCGGTGGCAACTCGAATGCAAGCTAGTCTATACAATGACTTGCGGGGGCCAGCCGATGTACAAGTCAGTGTTTTTATCCTCCCAGACAAGTCTGGTACCAATTAACCGACCCCGGGGGATGGAAGGCTTGGTTGGCCCGGGCGACTCACGACCCAGGATTTGATCCCGGACCGCTCGCGTGGTACATAGCGCCACTTTCCACCACACCACTTCTACCCCTGGCGGAAACGGAAACGGAAAGAAACGTGCGTTACTTCCTTCAACTTCAGCGATATGCTAAATTTGGGTGAATTTACAATCTATGAGAATTTAGCTTTCCGGCAGCTACTATGACCTTCCATGCCAAAAATTTTTCCTCATTTAAAGGAAGAAATGAAATATCGCGGAAATGTCAATTCTTCATTGCGGAGGCTTAACTTCCTTCAAATTTTATCTTATGTGAAGCCATAAAAGATTTTGAATGCAAAATAGCTTTGCTTTGGAAAATCACGAAGCTTCTTAGGAAGGTTGTCTTCAAACTATCGCTTGTTAAACATTTTTGGTGCACATGAGAGTTTTCAACCTTCAAGTGATATAACTTTT